GGGGAAGACCGGCCTCAAAGCAGGCGGGCGGGGGGGACACCGCCGCTGCCGCCGCCCCCGCCACCTCGGGGAGATCGAGGGTGGGGATGGAGGAGACGGAGCTCTTCTCCCCCCCGTGAGTATCGCGGGTCCCCCTCTTGTAACTTATAATTATAAGAGCATGCAGTGGACTCACCGTGGCAGTGACCAATCAGGGAAACTGTGCCAGAGTTTTCACTCTCCGTGTCCCGTACTGTGCAGGTGTAGTTCAAAGAACCGTCTTCGGGCTTTTGGGTGATATGTAGGGTTTGCTCTTGAGAAAGTACCACACTCTCATGGGAGAATGACCAGGCATAAGTCACATTCTCTCCGCCTCCTGTATTGGAGCAGTACAAAGTGACGTTGCAGGTCCCATTCATAGAGCTGATGGTGACGGTTGCCTTTGGCAGTCTTTCTTGAGGGGAAAATGAAGAGAGTTAGTATGATGAAAATGTCCCTAAGAGCTAGGGTTGCCAGGCAGTGCCCAGCAACCAGTGGGATGGTAGTGTGAGGGGGTATGGATGGTGCCACAGCTGCTGTGCCACATCTGGTAAGAAACTAGAAGTGACATAGGTACCTCTAGGAAGCATTGGAATTCTGTGGTGAAGCCATAGAGTTTCCAGTGATTGATTCCTAGAGCTACCCCATGTCATTCCAGGTGGTGGTTTTTGTTTTTTGTTTTTACCAGAAATAATGTAGTACTGCAATGCCCTGGGAGAATGGGGGCTGCTACTGTGAGCAAATGTAGAAAAATTCTGGTTAATCCTTGGGACATTAGGCAAACATAAGAGCCCTCAGGGATTAGGCCAAGGGTTCATCTTCCAGTCCAGTATACTGTTCCAAAGAGTGACTAGCCAGGTGCTTTTGGGAAGTCCATAAACAAGACTTGAAGGCAACAGTCCTTCCCTGTTGTATACCCCCAACATTTAGTATTCACAGATATACTGCCTCAGGACATAGAAGCTCCATTTCACTGTTCGAGGCTGTTTCCACATGAGGATTTTTCTCCAATGATGGAACCACAGTGTGCCTCTGCTTTTTGAGGGAATTTTCACATGATATGCCTTTCTCAAGCCTGAGCAAAGGAAATACTTACTTTGTTCTGCAGTAGAGGGAATGTGTGATGGTGGCCATACACAGATCCTCCACATGGAAACTCTGTCCACAGTAAATCCAGTGGGGCAGCTAAATTCCACCTTCAAAATGGCAGCACTAAGCTCCACTCACTGGAGCTGGAGGTGCCTCAGAAGAGCTCTGGAGGTGTTGATTTTGTGTCTGTACTGAGCACCCCTTTGGAAATATGTGCCTCCATCAAAGGAGGATTCTCGGTCTGGAACCTCCCAAGGTTTTGTGATTGGCCCTCATGACAGCCATTTTGTGGTTGGAGCGTCCTGCTGCCATGGCATCCACTTTGTCTTGGCACACACTCGATATTATCAAAACTATCAACATTCCAAGGGTGCCCACAGGCTCAACAGGCTTAACATTGGTTAGAGTTGGGCTAATACTGGGAAGAGTTTGGTTCAGATCCACTCTTTGCCATGACACTTGCTGGGTGACCTAGAGCCAATTTCTCACATGAAACTGCCTTATACCGAATCAGACTAGGGTTGCCAAGTGGAAAAATCTTCTTACCGGGGGACTCTCGGTCTGTGGCTGGAGCCCTCGGATGACCCTGGCCCCGCCCCCAGCGTACCTGGCATCATAATGTCACTTCCTGGTGACGCACACGCTGGGGCGGGGGGGAATGGGCCTCTGGGGCGGGGGTTTCCCCGCCCCCTGGGGGGACTTGGCAAGCCTAAATCAGACCCTTGGTCCGTCAAGTTCAGTATTGTCTACTCAGACTGGCAGCAGCTCTCCAGAGTCTCAAGCAGGGGTCTTTCACATCACCTACTGCTAGATTTTTTTTTTTAAACTGGCGATACTGGGGATTGAACCTGGGACCTCCTGTATGCCAAGCAGATGCTGTGCCACTGAGCCATAGTCCCTCCTTCTACTTCTTTCTCTGGCCCAGCCTGACCTACTTTATAGGGTTGTGAAGGTAAAATGGAGGAGGGAAGAACTATGAATGCCATTGAACTCATTGGGCTATAGAATTGTAGAATCCTAGAGTTGGAAGAGGCCATACAGGCCATCTAGCCCAACCGCCTGCTCAATGCAGGGTTAGCCTAGAGCATCCCTGACAAGTGTTCGCCCAGCCTCTGCTTGAAGACTGCCAGCGAGGGGGAGCTCACCACCTCCCTAGGCAGCCAGTTCCACTACTGAACAACTCTTACTGTAAAAAAAAAAAAAATCCTTAATATCCAGCAGGTTCCCTTCTGCTCCTAATTTAAACCCTTTATTGCTGCCAACAGGAACAGCTCCCTGCCCTCCTCTCAGGGACAGCCTTTCAAATACTTAAAGAGAGCAAGGGGAAGGGTAAAATGCGAACAAGTACGTCCCATAGTTTCTATGGGCAACATAGAAAATATAGTGCTTTTAAAAACTAGTAAAATGGGTAAGGCTGTCTGCCAATGGAAGATTTTTTTTCTTAGCTGATGCAGCATCAGTCATTCAGGTGTCAAATAAAATGTGCCAAAAAACGGGGGAAAGGAAAAAATGTTTTTTCACTTTCCATCTTATGTGTCTAATTTAAAAAAAGAATCGATTAACAAAACTGGAGTTACGTTACTGATGTGTAAGCTCTGTGGTGCACCAACAGCCTTGTGGTTAAAGGCAGCATGGTGAGAGCCAGGGTAGTGTAGCGGCGGATTCTAATCCGGAGAATGGGGGTTGATTTTCCACTCCTCTTGCACATGAAGCCTGCTGGGTGACCTTGGGCCAGTCACCATTCTCTCAGAACTCTCTCAGCCTCTAAGTTGTGGAGTCTTGTGAACAAAAATTCTACTTCGTGAGCTCCTGGCATTAAAGTTGTAAGAGAGCGATTTGGCTACTGCATAAATTAGTTTGCTCTGGAGCCATCCTTCCTGAGCTAAGACAAAAATGTGTGAGCTGGAGGCTAAAAAACTGTGAGCCAGCTCACACAAACTCAGCTTAGAGAGAACACTGCTCTCAGTCCCACGACCTCACAAGGTGCGTGTTGTAGAGAAAGGAAGGGAAGGCAATTGTAAGTTGTTTTGAGACTCCTCAGGGTAGAGAAAAGCAGGGGATAAAAACCTACTCTTCAACTCTTCTAAAAACATAAAAGCCCAGCTGGATCAGACCAGTGGTCCATCGGGTCCAGCTACCAGTCTCATTCAGTGGCCAACCAGTTCGTCTGGAGAGCCAGGGCACAGAGGATGAGGCCTTCCACTAGTGATGCCTCCTGCCACTGGTATTCAGAGCTGTAGTGGAAATACCCACCTTGTTTTCCGTTCTGAAGTACTGCTTTACCTTCAGAGGCAGAGCTGGTGTTTACAGTGACACCAGGGGGGGTAGCAATCATTCCCCAGCTCCAGCTTGTGGGGGTGTTTGTGCTGTTGGTTACCCACTTCCTCTCTGTCTCATTTTCCTTTAACGTGGTACCATAGACAAACTCTTCTTCTGCTTCGCTGAGCTGTTTGGTTTGTTCAGAGTGATTGCCCGGCTCCTCTGCTCCAAGGGCTGGAAAAAATGGGAGAAGGTGAGAGGAATACAAAACTGGCATTGGTCAAAAAGGACTCCATGAAAAGTTTCAAGAAATAAGAGAGCTCAGGGTTCATGATTTTAGAATACACATGCCTCATTCTGCCCAATGAAGGAAGAAAGGAGGGGTATAATTTTTTGCAAATAAATGAATAAATAAACAAATAAATCTTCTGACATGTCATAGATTTTTTAAAGAACATTTTATTGAGGTTTTCTAAGTTTATACATCTGCAAAGATCAGTTAGTCCAAGAAACACAATTACATTAAAAGGGTAGATTCTATACCGGAGCAAAATACACACAAATAAACTTAAATACAGGGGAACAAATACGGAAGTTAGTTAGCACTTATAATATAGATTAATTTAGCCTTGACTCAATAGTGAATAAAGCCCATTTCGTGTCTATAATCTTTTCTGCTTCTACCTTTTCTAGAAAAGGAAACCATTTGTCAAGTGGGTCAAGAAGCAAGTTCCTCTCAACTGATTTATTTGTATATACTGTGAATTTTTCTAGTGTAAAGTAGTCCCATACTTTGTCTAGCCACTGGTCCAAGTTGGGGGCATTCCTATTTTTCCATTGTTGAGCTATGGCTGCTTTGGCTGCCGTTATTAAAATTAGGATCAGATCTTTACGTATCTTAGGAAGTTGATCTTCTGCCCATAGATTTAGTAGGATAATCATTGGGTCTAATGGGACTTCAATACCCGTATAGTATGTTATGGCCTGTAGTATCTGTTTCCAGAAAGCGCGAATATAGACGCATTCCCACCAAGTGTGGATAAAGGATCCTTTAGTTCCACAATCTTTCCAGCAAAGGGAACTAGTGCTAGACGAGATATGTGCCAGCCTGACATGTCATAGAAAAAAAGGGGGATGTATTCGTAACAACATATTTACATTATGACAGATCGCTGTCTCAATCCCCACCCCCACCCCGCCCTGTTAATTCAGCTCATGGACAGTTCTCTTCTGTCTGCTGGTTTGGTTTACTCTTCAATACCTTGGTGGCAAAAAGGAAAAGCACACATATTAGATGGGGAAGACACTTCTTGGTAGCGGTGTGTAATGTGGCAAAAAAAGGCTAATGCGGTCTTGAGGTGTATCAACAGAGGCATAGCATCCAAATCGCAAGATGACATAGTCCTGCCGTACACTGCCTTGGTCAGGCCGCACCGGGAGTACTGTGTGCAGTTCTGGAGACCTCACTTCAAAAAGGATGTGGACAGGATGGAGAGACTGCAGAGGAGGGCGATGGGGGGGGGGGGGCTGGGGGCTAAGCCCTCTGTGGAAAGGCTGAGGGACTTGGGAGTGTTTAGTCTGGAGAAGAGGAGGTTGAGGGGGAACATGATTGCTCTCTTTAAGCATTTGAAAGGCTGTCACTTAGAGGAGAGGGCAGGGAGCTGTTCCTGCTGGCAGCTGAGGATAATAATGGGTTTAAATTACAGGTGGAACGATACTGGCTGGATATTAGGAAATTTGTTTTTTTTTACAGTAAGAGTAGTTCAGCAGTGGAATCCGCTGTGTTGGGAGCTAGTGAGCTTCCCCCCGCCCCCCCGGCAGTCTTTAAAGCAGCGGCTGGACGGAAACTTGTCAGAGATGCTCTAGGCTGATCCTGCATTGAGCCAAGGGTTGGACTAGATGACCTCTATGGCTTCTTCCAACTCTGTGATTCTAAATGATTCGAACCTATCCTCCCTTAATGTAAGAAATAAGATTTGCTAAAGGTATACTAGAAGAACAGAACTGTCCCACAGAACATTAACAACCGTTCACAATATAACTCAGCATCTACAGTGTGTGACACATCCGGCTATGTGGTCATGCACTCATATTTAAACTGATGCCCTCTCAAGTTGTACCCATCTCCTAGAGGATAGAGCTGAATGCTGAAGGATCAAAAATGCCAAGAAATTCATGCTAGGATTTTTTTTTCACGGGGCACCACCCAACTGTAAAAAAAAATGCATCAAAGTGGGATGGTGAAGGAGAATTCATGGATCACAAAGTCCTCATGTCTCCCATGTGGCCAGCTGACAGGTATGCTCTGGGACTTTTATGCTCATATCTTAATTCCCAGGTGCTTGCAGACCCAATTCACATCAGAACTAGGCACATGAGAGCAGCCTAGTCCAAGCTTGAAGCTGAGCAGGGTTAGGAGTGGGAGACCACCAAGCAAGTCTAGGGTCGCTTTGCCTGTCATCTCATTTCCAAATAACCCGGTGTGTGTGGGGGGAGAGCTCAGGCTGCGAAGCATTGACTCTCCACCTTCCCCCCTTGTGAACCTCCTCCAACAAGCTGCCGAACAGCAGCCTCTTTGGCCAAGCAGTCGGCATCTCCTCCTGGAGGCATGCATCTTTTCAAACTTTTAATTGTACACAAACACACGCCACCTCTTGCCAAACTTTTAAAGCATTCCCTGCCAGCCATCCCAGATTAGCGTTAAAGTCCTAATGCTAGACTGAATTCTCCTTTAAACACCCCCCCCATGTACAGATAGAAAACCTAACCAATGGTGGAGCTTGTACACCAATGGGGATGGACCACTAATGGGGTCCTCACAGTAAATTCAGCTCTAAGAATCTCCTATTTCAAAAGACACGCCCAGTGCAAAATTGACCAATCAGGATAGACCAACCCCGCAGCACTATCTGGGTTTTCTCATTGGTATGCAGAATATATACTCCTCGATTCCCAATAGAAAACCAGAGGGGAAAGAAAGGTGCAGAGTCCGGGCACAGCGTTGGAAGTAAACCCCAATCGACTCGACTTCAGTGAAAATCAGAAGTAAACTGTGCATGCATAAAGGGCCTTGGTTTGCCTTGGCTTAGCAGATGAACTGAAGTCAAGCTTCTGCTCTTAAAACCTCATTCCAGTTCATGAAAGGCATGCCAGTGAGAAAAATGCTATTGGGATTTCTGAACGGCAAACCTCCCTCGCATCAACGGGTGGCAGATGTGTGTGCGTTCCAATTTCTGTTGTTTCCCAAAGACAGGAAAAAACACTAAATGCTTTGAAGAGAAAATTTCCTCCTCCATTTTCTCCTCCTCCTGCATTTTTATTAATGGTACTATGCAAAAAAAAAAAAAATGCTAATTGGCCAAGGGCTGCCGTAAATAGAAGTTTCCAAAACAGTTGCTCTATTAACGAGGCAGATAACAAAAAACTCCTTTGCTCATTAACTTCTGCTCACGTAGCTGCTTTGTGCAACATTCCCCAGGATTACGAGGCCAACTTGGGGTTTGCTGCACTTCCTCAAATCTTCTCTCTCCTTCTTTGCAAGACCTACCTCTTCCCCCATATGGCAGCAAGAGATAATTCTGTACTCTTGGTGTAATGTATTGGAATCCTCACTTGAATCGGCCCATTTGCATTCAATGTTAAGCTTGAGCCGGATGAAGGCTCCTCTGAAGAACATTGCTATTGGTCGACCTCCACAGCGACCAATCAGAACTGTACAGTTCTCCAGGGAGGGAAAGACTCTCATTGGTTGTTAACTATGCAATCTTATTGGTTGTTAATTGTAAATAGGCGTGGCTATATTAGCCCGGGATTGTTTAAAAGGAGCCTAGCTCCCAATGTTAATCTGTTCTGGTTTCTTACTGAGTTGAGTGCTTGTTCGTTACTTCCAATAAAGCTGAATCACTTGCTGAATCACTCTAAGAGTCCTTTGTTAGTGCGATCTAACAATTGGCGACGAAGGTGGGATGTTAGAGCAGGTAGGCAGCCCTGCGGACATCCACACTTCGGACTCGGAAGAAAGCGAGCAGAGCACAGCAGCCGATCCGGCGGAGGCGCCACCAGCTCCGGTGCCCAAGTCTCCCACGATGGCTGGAAGCCAGAAGTTCGAGTGCTTCGAACCCTCCTCAGAAGACTGGGACTCCTACCTATCCAGGTTCGAGTTCCATCTGGAGACACACGACATTACAGACGAGGCCAAGAAACGGGCGTGCCTCCTGAGTTCCTGCGGGAAGGGGACCTTCGACATAGCCAGGTCGTTGGTGGCCCCAACTGATATAAAGACTGTCACTTACACTGACATCACCGAGAAGCTTAAGGCTCACTATTCTCCACAGCCGTCGGAGATCGCCTGCCGGCACGCTTTTTACAAGCGGAACCAGGCCGGAGGCGAGACCATCGCAGATTTCGTGGCGGCCCTTCGCAAAGCCGCACGACCATGTAATTTCCACAACGTGGAGGAAGCCCTCAGAGACCGTCTCGTCTGCGGTCTCAAAGATGAAAGGCTGCAACAGAGGCTGTTCGCCCGCACCACCCTGACCTGGGCAGTGGCCTACGAAGAGGCCGTGGCCGCGGAAGCAGCGGAGAAGTCCACGAAGGAGGTCCGCCAGCGGGTGGCAGAGCCCAGTATACACGCTCAACGAGACAGCGAGGGCGAAGACGCGGATGATGACGTCAACGCGGTTCGAGGCAAGCGGACCCCAGCGAAGACTACCAACGTCAAGCCTTGCTCCGGTTGTGGCGGGAAACACCAGCGCGACTCCTGTTGGGCTCGTGATGTCGACTGCAGAGCGTGTGGGCGGCGTGGTCATCTGGCCAGAGTCTGCAGATCAGCAAAGAAGGATCCCTCAACTAACAACCGGTCAGCGCAGAGGGGCACTCCAGTCAGCACCCAAGGCAAGACCCGTTCCTCAGCATCGGAAGCAAGCTGCCAGTTGACGGCGACCTTGTCGAGCGCATCGGCCGTAAATCGCACCAGCAGCCAGGGCAAGATCACCGTGACTCCACTCCTCGACGGCCGACCCTGTACAATGGAGGTGGACTCAGGATCGTCCGTGACGGTGATTTCTGCCGCGTCCTGGCGCCAGTTGTTCCCGAACCGAAGCCGGCGGCGGCTCCAGCCTGCGGGAACCAGAGTGTCCGACTTCCAGGGCAACCGAATTCCCTTGGCCGGACGGGACTCTGTTACTGTTGAGTATAAGGGGAAATGTGTTAAACTGTCATTCCTGATTGCAGAG